CTCTCGGGGGGTGCCCGCGGCCGCCCCGGCTCCGTCCTTTCACACCTCTCCTTCCGACTCTCCGGCCCTTTGCCCGCCTTGGGCAGCCGCCCCTCGGCCCCGCTGCCCTTCTCCCCCTCGGCCTTGGCCCCGCCGGCCAGCAGCGACATGACGGGCAGCCCCAGCCCCGCCGGGAAGGGCGAGGGCAGCAACGGGCTCTTGGCCAAGTTCAAGGGGCCGCCGTTGAGGGGCAGGACAGGGCCCGGCAGGGCTGGCAGGGCACCGGCAGCCCCACAGCCCAAAGCGCTGAGGTCGAGCGGTGCCGGCGCCAAAGGGATGGGCAACGCCGGCAGCCCCGGGGGAGCGAAGAGGGCGGCGGGGTTGGGGATCACGAGCTGCGCCCCGTTAACGTAGGGCACCTCCGCCGAACCCAGGGGCGTTTTGGGAGGCGGGTGGACCTTGAGCATCTCCGGGTGCTCGGGAGAGACGAAATGGCCGTGGGCTTTGATGTGCTTGCGGAGGGAGCTGGGGTCGGTGTAGCGCTTGTGGCAGCCCGGCATCTTGCAGGAGTAGGGCTTCTCCACGTAGTGGGTGCGGGTGTGCTTGAAGCGGTCGCTGGAGTTGGAGTAACGCTTGTTGCAGCCTTCGTAGGGGCAGATGTAGGGCTTCTCGCCTGCGGGATGGCACAGCACCGGGTCTGCCGGGGCATGGCCGGCCCTGCCAGGTCCCCCGCGTCCCCCCTGAGCCTCCCTGCTCCCCCCAGGCGAGCGCGGTGGCCGGCACTGACCTGTGTGCGAGCGGTTGTGGATTTTCAGGTTCTCCAGGCGGGAGAAGCTCTTGTTGCAGGTGGGGCAGCGATGCGGCTTCTCGTTGGTGTGCGTCCGGATGTGGATCAGCATCTTGTACCTGCCAGGGTCCAGGGGGGAACATCACCAGGGATGGCCCCAGCCCCCAGGGCATCTTCTTGTCCCCATGCCCTGGCTACGGGGTGAGGGGACAGCAACATCCAGGCCAGCACGGTCATCCAGCCCCCCCAGGGACCTCGCACCCCACGCCAGAGGGCTGGCTGGATGGAGACCTGCACAGCCCCCGGTGCTGGGCTCCTGTCTCCCCACAGCGACTCAGAGCAGCCCCCCAGGGACCCCAGACCACCCCCTCCCGGTGCCCGGAGCCCCCCCTGCCCACCTGGCATTGAAGCCCCTGCCGTGGCGGGGGCCGCCCCCCCCCGGGGAGGGGGGACCCCCCCGCCC